GAAGAATATATATTTGCATGTTTATTAGGTCCATTGTATTTCAAATTTTACTATTTGGTATTTAAAGATCCCTAACTTCCAGTAATACATGCTTCTTGATGCTTAGTTCTGTCTTATCTGTCTTCACCACTGGTTGTTCATTTGTTGAACTGTTGATTATGGTCCATCTGCACCTCCATCTTCATTGCCATCGCAAAGGCTGGTCCCCCGGCGAGCTGGCCCACAAGTGCTTTTCCGTTTGACAGGTTGCTGATGGGCCGCAAGCCGAGTGAGTTTAAACGGCGCTTAAAGGCTGCGGCTTGTGCGGCAGCTGGGAATCGATCAGGGCAGCGTTTTTATCTGCGCATTTATGCTTGTTTAATTAAAGAGCCGCACTCATACATTCACGCACTGGCCACTGGGCGCGGGATGTAATTTAAAATTTGCATATAGCGAAATTAAATGCAAATTACTAGAGCAAATATATACACTGATATTTGTATGCTGCCAACGCAAACAAGCGACATAAATGCGCAATTTCGGTTTATTAAATTACATTTAATTTTTCCAAAACAACTTCGTAGTCGGTGTGTATTTAAGTATATATTCATTAGTTGTTTCTGATAGTTTGCATTTTCATTGAGCGAATTTATCGCCTATTTTTTTGTTTGCATGTTTCTTTTTTACTGGATAACAATTAAAATAAATTATGTTTGGTAATTAGCTGGCTGGCAATTTTTGGCATTGGAATTTATGTCGTGTAATTTCTTGTTCGGACCAGAATATTAATTAAATTTTTAGTTTTTGCCGGCAATGCTTATTAGCTATCATTTTAGTTCACCCATAATTAATTTCGCCTTTGTGTTGCCCCAGCAAATTGCAATTAAATTTCATTTCCACAGACTGAGGTGGTAACAGAAAAAAAGGAGAAAGGAATCCAGCGAAAATTGCGTGAAAATATCAAAATCAAATTGTGTGCGTAAATAAATTGAATTTTGATTGCCGTTCACCAGGTTTGTTGCTGCACTAACGAAGCTCCATTGTTGCCACGCCCACAAATCCGCTCCCTTCGCCCCCCAATAGCACAGTGAAAAAAACCCCAGTCAGTCACTCATCTAGGCTTTATTAATGACGATTTGTCAGCGGATTGCACGTAGAAGCGCCGAACAATATGCAATGCAAATTCGTGCGAAAATTTCATTTTCCCCAATTCAGTTGGTGGAATTACATAAAAAGCTCTCTTCCTCTCATATGTTTCTATTTAACAGTTAAGGGTCTTAGGTTAGCTCTGGGGGTTTGTGAAAAATATTCAAACTATATGAATTAAATATAGTTTGCACGTTAGTCGGTTATAACCAAATTCATATTTTAGAGCAAAAAATAATTAAAAATTAAGGTTTATATTTTTTAAGGGTTAGAATTACTTTTATTTAAATTAAACTCTAAAAACATTTTATTTGTAAGTACATTCTTTTTTAAGATGAAACATAAAACTGCTATTATTGTGGCCGCAACTGCCTCTATATATGTTCGATTTGAGGTCGAAAGTTGGAGCGTGCCGATGTTAATAAAATATTCATGGCATCAATCGGGTCCTGACACATGCCCTGGAATCAGACCACGACAATGGCTGGCCAAATTTATGCTAATGTATGGCCTAGCTGAATTACCAAAGCCGGGAGTGGTGCCCATAAGAATGGATTCGCGTATTAAAACTCCATTTCCATGTGCATAATCCTTAAATTGTGTCGTACAACAATTTGAAGGTTTTAGCCTTGCATTTGGAATGGAAATGGGAATGAAATCGCTGTGTTTTAAGCGCTAACGAAGCAATTGTGTGATAGCGACACTGAAAGAAAATTTAAAAAAAACAAGAGAGAACGCAATAGTCGGGTGCCCCGACTATCAGATACCCGTTACTCAGCTAAAGGGAGAGAGAAGAATATGAAGATAAAAACTTTGATCCGCCGTAACTTTTTAACAAATGGTCCGATTTAAAAAATTTCTTCTACATTTCGATAGGTATTGATAAACACAATAAAACTGCATTTTTACTTTTCCAAAATATTGAAATTTTTAAAATCGTATATAAGCGATTGTGGGCGTTAGAGGGGGCGTGGCACCCTTTTGAAACAAACTTGCGCTGCGTAGGAACTCCTAGAATCTGCATGCAAAATGTCAATCCTCTAGCTTTTATAGTTTCCGAGATCTCAGCGTTCATACAGACAGACAGACGGACAGACAGACGGACAGACGGACAGACGGACAGACGGACAGACGGACAGACGGACAGACGGACATGGCTAGATCGACTCGGCTAGTGATCCTGATCAAGAATATATATAGTTTATAGGGTCGGAAACGCTTCCTTCTACCTGTTACATACTTTTGCACGAATCTAATATACCCTTTTACTCTACGAGTAACGGGTATAAATAGGAGATGGTCCTGGTTGGCCTTTGACATATTCGTTAGGCATTAAAAGTCAAATTCAAATGGCCATGGTCAAATGCCATGAACCCGGCCAGACGAATCAAATTCGTTGGCCAATATGTCATTCCATGTGCTATTTCCCTGCTGCTCTCAGGCCCCCATATTTCCCCTATTTCCTCCGACATTCTTCTCCATTTTCCTCCTCCTATATCTCGAATGGCGAGTGGCTCCTGCTGTTGCTCCAGTGATTATGGCAATTCATTTGGTCAACCGGCCATGGCTCTTTCTGGGACCTGGGCCTCTGTTTGGTCTCCGTCGGTCTCCGTTGGCCATTCACTTTTATGGCTATATTGGCTGGCAGCTCGGACCGGCTATTTGGCAGGCTTCAATTAATTAATTGACCTGTAATGAGCTCCCCAGTCTGACACTGAGTGGGCACCGAGATCTCTGCATGGGGTACTGGAGTAAAAAAAATGGTTTCTTATGGGAATTCCAGGAAATTCGGTGTATGTTTTTAAATATTCAGCGAAATTTATAGTTAAAAAATTTATTAATAAATCTTTCAGCTAGCTAAAAAGTTTACTCGATATACCAAAAATTATATGTATTTAATTTTGTATTAACGCTTTCTTGGTAAACCTTTTTTCTAGAGCCCATAAATATTTCAAAATAATGTGCAGAATATTTCGATTTTTAGGAGCTGAACTGCCATTTGATCACCAACGGTCGAGTACTTAATTCTTTCCTCCATATATCTGGATTATGTTATCATGCCGATTGCCCTATAAAGCGTATCGCATAACAATACATCATGGCCACTTCCCCTCGCCTGTACCAATTTGGGCTTTAATGCTGTGGCATAAATCATTTTTTCGCAATTCGTTTCAATTGCATAAAAGTATTTCATGCACTGCCTTCTTTTGGCTGACTTTCAGTGTGTATAGTACATTTTTCCGGGGTGGTCCAGGGATCGGGGGGCGTGGCCAATGTGGCGGCCAGCGGAAGTGCCATCCCAGCCGCCGTTAACATGCAAGAAGCAAATGCATTTGCCATCTACCATCAGGCATTTACCCAGTACCCAGTGCCCAGGATCCAACACCCAGAAGCCAGAATCCAGAGCCCAATACCGAATACCCAATGGCCACGGAGCTCGCTTTTTGGCCCCCGGCCAGTTGAAAAGTAATGAAAAAATGCGTTTGCCAAAAAACCAACAGCAGCATTGCGAACAGCAAACTTTGTGGCCAAGTGGAGGAGCTGATTTCTGCCCACTTATGCAGGCATCGAGGCGAGCGAGTGTGCGGCAAATAAAAACCAGCTCCAAGGCGGGCACCGCAAAAGCGGAAACGGAAATCGGAAACTGTGCAACTGTAGAAGAAGAAGATCCAGCGGCAGCAGCAGCAGCGGGAAAGGCAAAAATAGGCGGCGCACAAGGACAACAGCAGGCGGGCCTGGGACGGCGATAAAAGTGTTGCAATTTATGGTCAGGCTAGATGGCGCCCGAAACTCGGTCCTCGCTTCGATTCCAGTATTCCAGCATCAGTTTAGGGATGTCGAGACCAGCTAGTTAAAACTAGCCAAATCGGTGAAAGCAATAATTAGTAGTTTCTAATTTATTTTTAAATTTTTAAATAAATTATGAAATTCTGTAGATAAGTAATTATTGCAGCTGACATCATTTAACAAAACCCTTTTTAAAGATTTTTTAATTTATTACACCACGTTAATATTGGCTCCCAAAAAAAGTAATTTTATACTCTAGTACTACTTCTAATTAAATTGTGAAAAAACATTTAATATATGTGTCACTCAACAATAATATCCAAGTTTTGTTATATTTAAAACCAACAAAATTTGAAGTTTCTTTTAGCTATAAAAAACCCAAACAGTCATTGCTTATCTCAGCCTTTTGGCCCCAGAAAGAGTTGGCGTCCGAGTCGCGACCAGCTTAAGTTTCTAGCTAATTGATTTTGCGATTTTATCTTTTAATGACTTTTTGGAAAAGTGCAGGACTAAATGGTGAGCTGCTGCCCTCTGTATATATTTGATTTTAATTGCATTATGTGGACTGTGGACTGCAGCAGTTTCTTAAGTGACGGCAGCCTAAAACTATGCCACACAATTTTTGCCACAACTCGCTGTGGCGTTTAAAACCGCGCACGAAACGCGTTTGGAATCGAATTTGTTTCAGTTGTCAGCGCAAAGTGATAAGAATAGGCAGGAAGTGTCGCTTCGCTATATTTTCTCCATTGAAAAAGCCATTAGAATGCAGCTGAGCTCGGCACTGTCATTTAATCTGCCAACGAACGAGTGTCCAAAAATCGAGGGGAAAACCTAAGAATCGTTTCTACACGAATTCCATTGATCAGAAAAAAAGAAGAAAAAAACTTCATTTTAGAAAAATATAAATAAATACCTTTAACTTTTCAATATTAATTGTATTGTTCCCTTTTTAAAAACCCCTACATTAACATGCCGAAAATAATTTAATTTTATGAAATTTATACTAAAATAAATATTAACCCATTAAGTTCCACATTAATAAATAGCCACACAAAGTTGATTATTACTGCTTGTTTATTCTGGTTTGAATGTTTTTTTTTGGTTTTGTCTTGACATTGGCATTTTTCAGTTGTTTACATTTTCTGTGGTTTTTTTAAATCGTTTCAACGATTTACACTTAAACATTAAGTTGATATTCGCTTGGGTTGAAGCTAAATGCAAATGAAACATTAATATTTTATCCAATATTTTATGCGTCATTAAATAATCCATTAATTAACAATTAGTCGCGTGTTTGTGTGTATGTGAGCGCGTGAGTGTGAGTGCGAGTTCATTTAAGTGTATCCGTTCACATCATTAAAGCAAATATTTACAGTTACATAGGGTTTACGTGAGGATGTGTGAGCTTAACCGGGAATCACACGGACATCTCATCTGCACTGGTGCGTGTGTGTGTGTATAATTTAAATTGCATTCGATATAGATAAATAATGCAGTTTACGGCCGGCAGCTCCCTAATTTCCATCGCTGTTCGATAAGCCATACACACTCGCCAAGTCCATCCAAGTCCGTGCATTCCGGCCGACTGACCCCCCGATTTAGCTACCAGTAATTAGTTGGGCCAACATGGTGACCAGGCAGACGGCCACGCCCCCCGCCGCCCCCCGCCATTCGCTGTGGGCCGAAGACGTGGCGAAATAGGTCTCCAAGAAGCTACGAAGTCCGGTTCCCGACGACAGCGTCACTGCAATGGCAAATCAGATGCATTTTTACAGAGAGAAATAATGGTAGTACTAAAGTTATGATTCTAGCAGAAATACCTCAAAAAGGTGTTTTTGAAAATTCTATATTTCTCTTCTTATAGTTTCCTTAAAAAATTTGCCAACAATTTATGAAGATTCGATTTTGAGTATTACAAAATTATCTGTTATAATAAATTAATTAAATTATTAAATTTTATTATATTATTATTAAATTATCTATATATATTATAAAAATGAAATTTAGCTTTCTAAGCCATTTCTAAATATTCAGAATGCTTTTATGGTTCTTTTTTAATTAGCTTTTAAGTAGTTATATCTCTGCCCATTTTTTCTTTCACTACTTCGAGGCGGTCGGCAGTTATGCTTTTGTGGCTTACCTCTTGCCGGCACCGGATCCTTTTGCGGTGCCCCCAAATCGATTTCCTTGGACTCCATATAGAGATCGCCAATTTGCGCCGTACAGCGCAGGACGAGTCTTCCTGGGCTAATCAGGTGAGCTGCGTTTGTGAGGGTCCGGCGGCTGTCATTACCATTTGCGAACTGGCCGCTGCGGCCGGTCCCAAAGTGAATCGCCTGCAGCTGCAGTTTCAGACTGAGCCGGGATGCAATCAGCTGGCCAACCGATAGAATGTACTGGGTATTTTCTGTGCCAACCTGTCGCAAAAAGGAAAATAAATATATAAAAAATTATTAAGACTTATGTATATTAAATATAAGAATTTTATAGAAACTCTTCTTTGTATAGATTGAGCGATTAAATCAATCGCTTAGCTTTAACCACAAAACGAATGGGGTTTTTGTCATTTTGAATACTAATCGAATGCCGCTACATAGACTAAAATATGCTTTAAATTATTCATGGCGTGCTTCCAACTGCAATTGCAGTTGCAACTGATTTTCTCTTCCGTTTCCGACGCCCTCACCCCTTTCCCTTTCGTCCTTTCACCCCTTAACCCCTCTGCAGTCACTCCTTTTTACACAAGTCCGAAAATAATGTTCCAACATGAAGGCAGAAAGGAGAAATAACAGCAGCAAAGGGAAAAATGAGGAAAAAAAGCACTAGAGTTTCGCATCGAGTTTTGTGCAACTGCATATGAATGGCAATTTGTCGTCTGTCTGTTTCTCCAACTCGCCCCCTTTTCTGTCTGTGTATATATGTGTGTGTGGGGTTAATACAAGCATGTTGCACTTGCGGCCATGGCTGCTTGCCAGTGACCAATCCTTTGACCAGTGCACTGAGAACAAATTTAGGTGAAGATATAAGACGAATTTTCAAAAATTTACTATTAAAAGGTGAATAAATATGATCTAAATAAGTGTTCGGTTGGTAAAAAAATGTTTCAATTCTAAAAATGTATCATCGAAAAAGAAAATTCGAGAACTTATTATTAGAACAGTATTTTAAAAACTGAATATATCTAGATCTAGCTCGAATTTAAGCCAAGTGCAGCTGAGGAGTGTGCTGAGCTTTTTGGGCTGGCCATGGAAAATGCATTGAGAGCTGCGAGGCAAGGAAACGGACACTGAAAGCGAACGAAACGAAACGAAACGAACGGACATGGGCATGTCATATTTTTGTTGTTGCTTGTGGCGAGTTGTTGGCCATGTTGTTGCTCTTGTTGTCGCTACTGTTGTTGTTGCTGCTGGCCATTGCCATTTAAAAACGAGTTTTCAATGTTACACACAACTATGGCAACAACAGAAACATCAAGAGACACTTATTCACTCATCCGCCTGGCTGGTTCGCTTTTTTTCGCCCCTCTCCAAAGTGTCCGGCATTTTGTTCGAGTGTATGCGAGTGTGTGACTGTGACTGTCCGTCTGAAGGCTGTTTGCCGTTGAAAACTGTTTATTTGATGCCTTTTGAGGAGCGCTGAAAATTTCATTTCCGCCATGACACCAACAGCAGCGCCTAAGCTTGACTGCTGATGTGTATATATTTAATGCTTACACGTATACGAGTATGCAGATATTTTCCATGCATATGCGACACTCCGGTGCGAGCTTTCCGCTTCATTTGCCTGAGTTCTTCTTTTGCTTCGCACACAATTTCCTTTTGGCGCGAAAAGAAAACTCTAAACTGCCGTGCAATGCTTTTAGTCGCAAATGGCGCATCGTCCATTGTTGCATTGCAAAAAAAAGAAAAAAGATGGCGGGAAATGCAGGCGCCATTTTGAAAACGCTCGTGCTGCCATTTCCGCTCTGCTGCATGTCCTGTTGCTGATTCATCCCCACCCCCGCAAAGTTCACATGACAACCTGAGCTAAGCCGGGGAAAAAGATGCGCCGGAAAACTTGCTGGCAATTTAAATACAATAAATATGCATTTCATTTCCACTTACAAACTCATTTGAGCGCCATTTACTTATGCATGTATTTTGGCCCCCTTCAAGACAAAAAGGTGTAAGATATTACGGGTTTTGCAGGAATTTGGGTCAGCTAAGGGGGTGCACTGGCGAAAAGGTTTGATTTAAAGTCCCATACAAGCTTTGATAAAATAATTAAAGTTCTCGAAATAACTAAATAGATGTTAAATTTAATTTTATATATCAAATTAAAATTTAATTGTTTTTGTCTATTTAGAAAAGTAACCTTATTGTGGAAAATATTTTAAGTGCTATGCTAATTTATGATGCATGTTTCAGAGATTTTAAAAATATTTTTTTAGTTTTTTTTTTTTTTAATTAAAAATTAAAAATATTTTTGCTATGAACTTTCTTATATTTTGCTCTTATTTTTTCCTGTGCAAGGGCTCTCAAGGATCTCTTCACCTTCATTTCCCCACCACTCGCCCACAACATTAAAAGCAAAAGCGCTTTATTGCCGAGCGCTCGCTGGCTTTTTGTTGTTGGTCGCCTTTTAACCCTTTTTACGAACAGCACAGCACAGAAAAGCATCTCGCCCAAACACATACTCCCCCATTTTGTTTTGGGTTTTGTGCGTTTTTTGGCTTATCCTTTTTATTTTATTTGAATTTTATTTTTATTTTTATGCTGGCAGCGGAAAAGCCCAGACGCAGCGACATAAAAAGTCATTTTCAGTTTGCCCTGCCGCACTCTCTGCCTCTCTATCTATCCCTTTCTCTTTCCTTTGGCCCTTCTCCGTCTCTTTCTGGTGCTATGTGCTATCTCGCTCTGCCGATTTAATGCCGCGTAATTTACGAGACACTCTTAAGAAGCCAAGCGCTTTAATTAAGCATGTGGCTGAGGCAGCGACCCGAAAGTGAAAATACCCTCATATTTCTTGTGATTTACCTTTATGGCATCGAGAACCCTCAACCTTCGGCCCCTGGGCAATTAAATGAGCATTTGGCATTTGCTGGCCTACACATTTTCGGCCCGGCAAATTGTTTTCAAACAAGAAAGTTTGTTTGCGTTTGTGTTTTGGGCTGCTGCTATCTGGGCAACTCTATTTTGATGGCTTGGCAATTAATATCGTCTTGATAATTTCTGCCTAGATGGGATTATGTAAATTGTGTGGAAAATACAGACCCAGCAATATATTTCCGATCTTAGTACTAACAATGCGAAGTTGCATTTAATATGTTCCCCAAATTAGTTGTGTTATTTTCACTTAAATATTTCTGCCTTTAATTTGGTCCCTTGGTCTTTTATCGATTCCTTCTAGACAGGGGCATCCATTAATCATGGGTAAGCCAAGCTTTAATTATGTCCTTAGTTTTCTGTGCTCAATAAATAATTTATCAAAAATCGATGGCCGCACAAATCCGCACGTCTAATGGTCAGTCTTGGGCCCTAATCTCAACTAATTCCCTCGAATCACCCACATAAAAGAAACACGGGTGAAAGCAAAAAAAAGACCAACACATTGGGAGCTACTTTTCCATTAATATGACAGAAACTTTTTAACAAATTATGTGAGTCGTTAAAGTTTTTTCGCCCCTCTAACGCAGTGGGTCACACACATGTGGATACATACGTATAGTATCTATCGTCGAGCAGCGCTTTAATCTCGAACTCAACACGTGCTGGGTCAATGCTTTCAGCTCGGAATTATTTATGGCATTGTTTTGTGTGACAGAGCATTATCCCTGGCCTTCTATCTAATTTAAAGAGCGAGAACAGCTCCAGCGGGCAGATCATAATTCAATATCAAAAAGGCATCTACTGCTCGGGCATATGAAACTAAATTGCACGGCCATTGCCACCGGAATGGATATGCCATCCTTCTGCTATCCGCTTGTTGTTTTCTCTGGCAACATAAACACGGTGTGCAGAGAAAGAAATATTCTAGTACTTCGAGGTTTCATCAGTCATAATTTTATATTTTAAGGCACCTTATATTTTAGCTGCCATTACTAGCGATTTAGGTGTCTCGTTTACCATACCTCGATTTTTTACGGAACCCACACCAAATTGGAATATACCAAATTAATGACCGATTCTTGTGAATTTTTCCCCCGTGTAGGTATAAAATTTTATGTGACAGACGGGGAGACGAGGCCCTACTATTCGCAATCCTCAAACGCAGCGGCGTACTTTTGTCTCGGCTTTTGTCATTAGTTGGCTGCGAAGAAGTCTAGATAAAATGTTAAACGGCCTGCATGTGAGTTCTGGTAGCATGTGTGTGCGCGAGTCCCGAAAAGTAGACTACAGCCGACAGATATAAAACGACAGGATAAGACACACATACACAGAGTCTGGGAAAATAGAAAAGACAGAAACAAAGCAGACGGACAGAGGAGGACACGTTATGTCTGATGATGTGGGTAGACATAATATAAAAATTTATGAAGCGTTTAATAAGTTTTCTTCTTGGCTCTTTTTTTGTGTTGTTGGTCCCTTTGCCCGCACCCTGGGAAATCGTAGAAAAGTTGAATTCGTTCAGCGGGCGTGTCAACTGAAAATTTGTTCATCTCGTAAATTCATTTAAAAACCGTTGGCCATTGTCCTTTGTCCTTTGGCCATTTTGTCCACTGGCCCGTCCGGCAATTTCGTTTTTGCCACAAGTTGAACGTAATTTATTTTATGTCTCGGCTATGATTAATAACATTTCGGGCCAAAAGGAAGCAGAAAAGGATTTCGGGGCTAGGTCAAAGAATTGGGATCTGGCATGGCTTTAAAACGATTGCCAGAAGCATTTCTTTGTTGATTTATGCAACTGATTAGCGGCGCTCGCAGAATTGATGCAGAAAAGGAAGCGCCCTCGGATGACTAATGATGTTGGGGCCTCATATCGTGGGCATATGTATTAGACGTTAGCGGTTATAAATATAGCAAAATGTTCCATTAAGGGTTCGTACTTCTAAGTACTCGGTGAATAGAATATTTTAGAGCATTATAAAATGACCTACTTATGATAAAATATACAATTAATAAAATGTAACGAAAATCTGTTTCTTAATCTTTCTTTGGTACTACAATTTTGAACCTAGCTGTTTAAGTATATATGCAGATGACTTGTTTGCTGAGCCTCTCCTTCTCCTTCACATCGTTATGATAAATGACAAAAAGGGAAAATCGCAGAATCAAATCAAAACCCATGCATACAACCCTTTTTTGCTTTATTGACTTCATTTTGCCCATAGGGGTATTTTCTCCACCCTGCGGTTTCTTGTTTGGGCTTCGACTTGAAATTTTTAATTAAGTAGGTAAGATGAGAGTCCCTGAATTTCAGTCGCTCGGCTCTGATTAAATTACACAATATTCATAAATAAAGAACAAATTTTGTGAGGCACGTCGCCCTGGATTAAGCGAAAGCCACACATGTTCCCAAAACGGAGTGGTGGGTGCCATTATAAAGGATTTACGATGCCGTTAGGCAAGTCAAAGCTGTTTAATTAGGCAAATCCCCCACGCACTTGGCCCAAACATCTTGGCGCAGCCAGACATTAATTAACAATCAATGCGCGGCATGATGTAAGACATTTTAATTGCCGATTGTAAAGCGTTTTGCCCCCAGGTCTTGGGAATTTACAGAGGTCATATCCTTCGCATCCTGACACGTTATCTTACTTTATTCGGCTTACTTGATAAATTGAATTATTATGTTACTTACAGGAATATTATTAATGCTAAAACGAAGGTCAGCTTTAGGGCGAGATCCCATGGTGCTGCAGTTGGCACGCAAAATATCGCCGGGTTCATAACGCGTGTGTTCCGCAAAGAGGCTGGGACGCTTTTCCGGTAGTTCTGAAAGCGTTAAATATAAAAAATATGAGAAATAAATTTGAGGTTCAGTGTAAAGTTAATTTAAGTACCGATTCTAGTATTTTCTAGTATCCAGCATTCTTAATATTTTTGTATTCAATAACAAACCCATCTGCCCTTTAAATCACTATTTCCCCAAGTTCACAAGTGTTTATTCAGGACCTGGGTGGTCTCTTAATTGCTGCCAGTGGAGCGACAAGGGCGCAGCTTTGCCCATTGTTCGCCGCACTTTCGAGTCACGCCTTTGCCTGCGACTAATGAGACAGGATCTGTTTGTCATTGTCAGATGCCCCGTGAGTTCCCGTCAGATACTCAGATGCTCAAATGCTCAGAGCGGCAGATACTCACCCACAACCTGCAGCTGGGCGTAGGCGGTGGCGGTGGAATAGAGCGGTGCATCCGCCGTGACCTCGCAGCTGAATGTTCCGGTCAGGCCGAAGCTGACGTTGCGGATGAGCACCATGGTTGCATTGGAGGCGTTCTCCTGTGGGGAAAATTCCAAAATACAGACAATGAGCCAGAACTTCGCAAGGACAGCAACTTACGTCCACTCGGATGCCGGGAAACTGAAAGACCTTGGTGTGCGGATACTCGCCCGGTGTGTAGCGGTAGAACTCCATCTGGCCGCGGTAGAACTTAATGGAATACAGGGGCGCCTCCTCCAGTTGGTAGTCGCACCGCAGGGCCACCGATTGACCCTTTCGCACCGCCGGTGGCTCCACCAGCAGATTCACGTCACGCAGCGCCGCCTGCCCGAAATCTGAAGAGGAAAATGAAATTTATTCCAGTGGATGCGGTGTCATAAAAGTTGAGGCTTAAGTGCACAGTGAGAAAAGCATTATTAACAAATTCTGTGAAAAATATCAATCCAATAGAAGCAAATGTGAATCACTGGCTATCTTATTCCATTCATATTTTTGCAATTAAGTTAAATTACAAGATCATCTTGAAAATTCAGAAAAAAATTCATTCGAGTTAAGAAATTTTCAGAGTGTACAATAGAGGGCTCCGCCTATATGGCTCAATTTTAAGGGGAGATTTGTCGGCCCCTTTGTTATTTTAAAAGCCTTCTGCCCTGGCTCAACACACACGCATTTGCATAGCCGTCCAGGAGCGTGGAGCAATATTGAATCTGGCGACAGTGGCTGCGCCGTCATCGTCATCTCCATCATCATCGTGGTCCTTTTCTTGGCTCTCGCACATAAAGCCCATGGGATTAAGAGTTGCAGCCGCTGAAAGTGCAGCATACTCTTGGGCGCTTAAAGCCTGGAAAACAACGAACCCATCTTCATCAGTGCTGGCAGCTTCATATTGTGTTTATCGTTAAATATTGGCAAGCACAAATAGTCAACAAACTATAATGATTTAATAATACAGGCCAACACATTAGAATTTCAATGTTTTCCTCGAGTTAAAGTCCCACAAAAAACTATTTTCTATTTTCCTTGGTAAAAATATGTCTTACAAAATATTTAAAGTTGTAGTTGTGAGGTATTAATGGAATGTTTTTTTTTACTACTAATCGATTGTTTTTTGAACATTTAAATTTTGTTTGAAAGGATATTTATAAGAATATTTTATAAAATTTTTCATATTTGAATAGAAAAGAAAATATTGAAAATAGTATAATTCCGATTGAAAATTTGTTGACCTGTTAAACTATTTTGACAGTGTCCGATTTTAAAAGAGCTGCTTTTGCTTTCAGCACTGATCTTCATCGCTCGGTCGTTTTCCACTCCCGTTTTCCCATTTCCCATTTTCCATCTCCATTCCCATCATCGTCATCGTTGTCGATGATGGCAGCAGGCAGCCGGCAAGGCAAAGTTGACTGACTACATCAAAAAGCAATTTTCCATTTGTTTTACAATATGCCCGACCCCCGATCCCGCCGCTTATCCTCGGCACCCACATGCACCCACACATGCTCAGACAGGCACACACACAGACACAGCCATATGACTTCAACGTGTGTGTTTGCGTTGAGAGTGTGTTTGGCTTTCCATAAACTCGCAAATCGTTTAAGCCGCCTTACGAGAAGTTGTAAACCTCTTTGCTGCCATTTTTTTGCCCCAGCTCCTGGTTGCCCTGCCCTCGCACTGCTATTTTTCCGCCTGTGCTTTGTTTCAAATAGAAATCGTGATAGCAACGCAGCATAATCAATGCCCATGCACTGAAAGAAACAAGAACATCAAAGGCAAGGAAAAGGCCTTGCAAAATAAAATACAAAAATTAAAGGCTGATGAACCAGATAAAACATTTAAAAACCAATATAAAATAAAACAAAAAAAAAAATTAAATACTTCTTGTTGAGGAATTTTATAAATATAATTCGTAGCAATGTTTTTAAGATCCATAACTAATCGAAGAAATACAACATAAATTCGGATTTGATTTCCAATTTAGGTGTCCTTTTCTTGCACTGCCCCCAACAGCCTCTTGTCCTGCTTGCTGGGCTTGGCTCAATATCCGCTCGACTCAAGCTTGTTGCTTTTACAACAGTGCTCCTGCTGTTTCATCTTCATTTTCATCGACAGCTTCCTGTGTTGTGTTGTCTTCGTTTCATTTTATGTCTACTATTTTTTTTCGCACTCCTGCCTCTGCAGTTTGAGCCTGCGGCCATTTGCCTTTGGAAATTAGGCCGGGCTTAGCTTTACGTTGGCCCCCCTGCAGTTGAAGTGCCTCCTGCCGACTCTCACATGTCGATGGTGAAAAAAACGAGGGCTCAGGCATTGATGATGAATTCTTGTCAGCAGTGATTTGGCCTGGCGACTGGAAGAACTTTATGGCCCTTCGATGGATTGCCAGGGATCTGTATCAACTTGGACCCAGTCAGTCAGTCAGTCGGCAGCAGCTTAGCCCTTAGATTGGAAGCCAGAGAACGCGGCATGTTTCCCATAATGACCTTAAATTTTTCGATTGCCCTCAACGGGTTTATTTTCCCCTTGTTCTTCATCACCACCCACTGCCCACCCCACGCCATCAACTTTTATGCAACTTTTCCATGACAAAAGAGGCAAAAAGCGAGAGAGGAAAATTGTGAAATATGTGCAGCTGTGATCATAAAACGTTTATTGACTGCAAAATTCAATATATCATGCATTCACCATTATGACAATATGCAGTTGCACAAACACTCATATATTTACGCAAGCATGCATGTCTGCGTGCCAGGGGTATCGTTGTGGGGATGGAAGAATTCCCTTTATCCTTGTTATGACACTTTATTTTATCTCGGAATATTACATACTAAGAAAGTCAATGATTTTGGATTTGGAAATTATTAAACCGAAATACTAGAATATAACATTGCACATTGTTCCTTTTTACTGACTGCTTTTTGGTCTACTCCCCTAAGCATTTTCATGACTACGCCCCTGGCATATGTAGAAAGCCCGCACACTCATAAACTTTTGCCACTGCTCTCGCCCAGATTTAGTTACAAATGAGCGCGGTAAAGGCGAGGGGGTTCGGGGGTTTTAGAAGGGGTCCTTTGGCCGCCGATCCAGGGATTCTGGGTAAAATTCCGAGGACGGGACGGAACCAGCTGTTGGTAAACTAAAGCCAGACGAACTTTTTGCAGACATGCGAATTGGGGGCACTCGAAGTGAATGAAAAGCGGTGGAAAATGCGGGAATGTGCAAGCCATGTGATGAACTCACTTGTGATAATTTATGGGTAATATTTTTATTGTCATAAAGACAGGCAGACGCGAAGAACAAGAGAGCGATAAGATGTTGGGATACTACCGAAACTAATTTAACTTATTGTCTGCAACTCAGCTCGCTTTTCAACCTTTTTTCCAGCAAATGAAAATTCCGATTCACAGTATAACTTTTTGTTTTATGGTTTTTTAGACCCTGAATTCCACTTACATATCTAATGTTATTTTGTAAGTTCTGTTCTCTTAGCTGCACTGTCAATTGCTTTGCACACAAATTTAAAAAATTTCCCACTCTTCCATTTGAGCAGTGAAAATTGGTTTTTCGGATGATACGGCCAACATCCAATAAATGTTTTAAAGTTAAACAATTTACGACGCCGAAACACAATAACAAAATTTTACGCATGAATTCTTCATGTAATTACGCGTGGCCAAAAATGAACAAAATTAACAAAAATATAAATTGCGTGGTTGCACACACACAAACAGGATCAAACAGATACAAACGCCTTTGGGCAAAAAATATATATGTATTTTTATATATATTCTGTGGCATTTCGTGATAATTAACGCCATATTTCAGCTATACAAAATACTAAAAAGCTCCAGCAAAAACGTATAACTTTCGCAACGGAAAAAAATGTTCGCAATTATTTAGCATAATGCATAAGCAACTACAACGGTATATATTAGACAAGGAGAGAGCATGGAAATATTAGCATAAATTTTACACAACCAAATTGGCGTTGAAATTACATTTGAAGTGGGTGGGCAAATGTTTTAAGGGATTGTGAGTGGTCTACGGTCAACGTTTTTGTAGACAAATTGGCGCTGTTACAGTTTTGAAAAGTTTCTGACATATTTCGCCTGGCCACAGTCCGAAATGGACAGAAAGAGAGGGCGATATGGCCAGAGAAAGAGTGGGGAGAACATGGTGGACGGGTGGACGAGTGGAGATAGACAAAGCCGGCATGATATAATTATGTGTTGAATTATGAATTGAAATGCTGAAAAGTTTTTATAGTTTTTATGCGTTATGAAAACTTGCCATTCAACTAACATTTTCGGTCAACATTTATTGCTAATTCCTACACTCTGAATGTTTTTAGGGGATTTTAATGCACTCAAGCTCGTCATGACGAATTATATTCTCTTATTTTGGGCGGAGGGGGGAGAGAAGAAATGCATAGATTGTGATTAATTATGAATCATATTGTCGACAGTCTGGATAGAAATTCACATTTATTTGACTGATATTTCTTATGCTGTGTATATTTTTTGTTTAATGAGATTTCTGCACTCTATTTAATTTGTTGATTAAAGACATCGATAATATAATCTAATAAATGTATTAAGTTATTTGTATATTTCTTAAATTCTTTCATCTGTCTATAGCCAATATTAATTATGAAGGAATTCTGCCAGACAGTTTTTTCTGTTTGCCTGTATGTTTTTCTGATCATTTTTTTTACCCCCCTAGGCGGTTCAACTACATTTACTTTTTTTATTTGGTTCCCTTTTGTATGAAAGAATTTCTGCATTTGGCCAACAGTCATCAATAAGCTTGTCACAGGACATGTGCTTTCAGATCCGACTTCGCATCTTCCCCAACTATATATGTAGGGCTATCATCTCCGACTTTTGAGCTTCGCATTTGCATGCAGCCAATAAACATAAAAATAAATGCCATGTGGGTGGCCATTGTTGTTCGGGCCTGGAGGATGACGCTTCGAATGCCTCATATCATATCAATTCAATTATATTTTATATCACACAGTTGGCGCACAAAGCCGGAGAAAAGGCAAAGACTCCATGCTGCTACCATTATTGCTGACAATATACCCGTGGCACTACAGTTGTTTCTCCTCTTGTTGTGGTTTATTATTTTGTTCACACATGTGTAGTTTAATTTAATACAAGCCCCTTGGGAGAGAGGCTTCAATCGATAATGGTTCTAGCCGATTGGAATGATTCGCTTTGTTTCGAGCTCAAGGCGTTGATTACTTCGGCTGTTTTGTGTAAAATTGATTTTGTGGCTAATTGCTCGGCACACACATGCAGCTTCCTCTTGGGCTAATCCCTTTAATTTATCCCGAAAACACCAGACACACACACACCAGACCAGGTAAACAAAGACAGAGAATCCGCAGGTGAGGTGCGTGTTTGGGTTCTGATAACAAATTGCAGCGAATAGTGGTGGGAAATCGGTTGGCACAAAAGTGCGGTGATGAGCCAGAAATAAACCACCGCACGAACCTTTTGTAATTAAATGTTGAAGGCAATTTCACGCCCAAAACCGATTCACGCAAGCGAAAGGGGTGGGAGTGATGTCCTTTCCCCACGTGGTTGCCCCTTTTGGTGTTTTGGTTTAAATAAATTTCCACAAAATGTGCGTAATTAATGCGTTTGGGCAGGGGACTCTGTAAATCACTGGCTATCAATTTGTCTGATAAGCACTCAGGCCAAGCGGCAACATCATTACATTTTAGATAAAGATTTTAGACTTAAATTCCTTTAAATCGTGTGACTTTAAAAATAAATACATATTGCTATAAGGCATTTGCTATTTAAAGCTCGAATTAAGATGGATTTTAAAGAGTAAAATGGAAATTTAAATTGTAAAGACTTTTGTACAAATTAAAAATAATAAAGATAATAGTTTGACTTTTTAAAGTGTTATATTTGAATAATTGTTCTGAGCATATCGATATTATCAATTGTTTTTTTTGTACATCCCTATTTTATAAGTGTGTGCACTTGCGGTCAACACCATGTTGCACGCACCATCGGACGCCTTTCAGGTTTCTTATCGACTGGCACTGGCCATTGATTGCAGTTCATTAAGCACGCGCAGGCTCACGCACATTTCTTTTTCTTTTACTTTCCGCCGTTCACCATCCACCGGGGCTTGCCTTCGACCACCTTGAACCACCCGTCATCCTGGATCCGGTATCCACTTCCCCACCCACTTGGTCGACACCTGATGACTTGGCTCATTAGCTGGGCATCCCGTTCGCACCTCCTGGCTCTTGACCATGGCCACCCCCGATCTGTGCATATATTTTCATAAAATCCCCATCTTCCAACCACTCACCTCCACAATCCATCCCCAACCACCCCACCACCCACTCCTTCCAGCCCGGTTCCGCATCTCGGGCCATTATTGTTGATTGCTTATTCATGCATTCAGTCATTTATTCATATGCCCGAATCTTGGGCGATGAGCACTTTGCTTGTTTGCCTTGTTATCAAAATGAAAGTTTTCCGCTTTCACTTCTTCGCTCTCCCCTTTCATTTTCCATTCCCCCGGGACCCCCAACTAACCGAAATTAATTGCGCTGCCCGGGCGCTCTGCTGTTTATATTTTAAATTAATTATAAATATTTATTTATCCTGATTAGTTAAGTGGGCGGTCGGTGGGTCTGCCGTCTGCTCGTCGGGGGCTTAACCAAATTGATTTCGGTTTATTTTAGCATTGGCCAGCGCTTTTGCGGGACCATCGATTACAAAGCGATGGCTTTAAAGCCATCCGACCGACCAATCAGCCAGCGGCAATGGAAACTCAATTGCACGCCAACTGTCCATTACTCTTGGACCACACTGAGCGGGAAAATTGGATTTTCACAGGGAAATTCTAGATCTTCAAATTTGGTAATAAGATCGGAAAATTAATATCTCGTTGCGGGCATACCAAAAAGAAGAGTTTGAGTGACTGATGAGGCTGATTTATCCAAAAATATTATGTTCAACATTATTTTAAATCTGGTGAAATCAATTTCATAAAAACAGAATCTGGAATAGATTTTAATATAATTAATACGAACCAATATTCTCAGCTTTTACAAGGATTTTAATGTGATAAAATAAAATTCTTAATAAGAGACATTTTAGCAAGTTAATTGGAACAAAACAATTACAATTTTTCATTAAAAATGCTGTACAAATTAGCATAATTTTCGTTCAATGTACTCTCATCTGACTCTGGTGCCTTGCTAACCGGATTCATTTTTCCCATCCTGCTGTCTGGCTCCTCTTTGTGGTTTTCTATAATTGATGGCAGCATCAATTCCAAACGAAATAATCAAGCCATACAGGAACGGAGAAAAAAGCTGGCCACGAAAAAAAAGGAAAGCACAGCGCCACAAGTGCAGACATACAGTACATACAGTAGAGTACAGTGCAGCACATACGTGTAGGGCCGGCTCACGTAGCCCGATTTGCCATGTTCCTTCGCTGCATACTTTCCTGGGCCAAAGTTAATTTCAGGTTTAAGTGGCAGCAACTGCAGCTGCTGCTGCAGTCGAATTATTGAAGGCAGCAAAAAGCGAATGGGATGGGGGCGAAAACGTTTAAATGAAAAACACGAGTCAATTTATATTGCGCTGACGTACCGCCCAACATCCCCCTCCCCATTGTCCCCCCTCGGTTGCCATTTAATCTTCTTCCATTTCTTGGCGCTATTTTCAAATGTTTTTCTTTGCTGTTTAGCCATTTTTTGCTGCTGTGGCAGTTGTAGCGAAAAAAGAACCCAAAACCAAGCGTTGTGTGTTGGTTTCCGACTCCTTTATATTTTTTTTGTTTGGTTTTTCGGCTGCCCATGTGTGTTTGTCTCTGCGTTTTTTTTCGGCTAAAGCTGTACAAAAATCTGCACAAAAATGCACGGAAATTCATCTTGATTTGTGTTGAGCGTTTTTATTTATTTTTTTCCGACTCTCCCCCTGTATATCTTATTCAAGGGCCAAAACTGCAGCCGTTTTTTCATTCAGCACATCTCTATATCACTTTGGTTTGGCGGTTTGTCTTCCCTGCTTTATCCCTGGTTTTTTCTATGGTTTTTGCCCCCGGGGCGTGGCGCACTAAATCAGAGACATTTAAGCGCGTTTTGTTAAAAGTCACTTACTGCACTCGACCATGGCTCATTTGCCGGCTTCTACTTACCACAGAAAAGGCACAGCAGCAATAGCCACTGCAGGATGTTGCTGCTGTAGTTGCAACTACTGTTGCTGCTGCTGTTGCTGCGGGTGATTTTCGTGCGACAGCAACACCTACGCATTGCTGTTGTCGCGATGTCTGCTGATGGCAACATGTGACTTTGCATTTCCGCGTTTTCCAACTTGCAGCTACAGTCGCAAGTTGCTGGTGTTTCTGTTGCCGCTGCGGCTGTTGTTTTGAGTGATGTGCTTAAAGTTGATAGTGTCTGCCACATTGTCAACGCTTTTAGACACTAATTAAGTGCGAAACGAATGTCTGCTTGTCTTGGCAAATCCTTGCTAAATTATGCTAATTTATATTATTCCTAAAGTTTCTTTAATAATTTATTCAAATTTTTTTTTTAATGTCGTTCACAGTTGGCACGCACTTTATTACGTATTTTGATTTGTTGTTTGTGTGTTTTCAATTTATACTTTTTACTTGAAACTTCGTCGTCGACACTGTTTCGTTCTCTTTTTTCTTCAGAGTTTTTATCTCTTTCATTGCCGGGAAGCGAACGCGTCACGCAATCGTCAGAATTGCGACTGAATGCTCGAATGTTGCTGCTGTCTGTTGGTGTTGCTGCCGCCGCTGTCAGTTGATGTTGCTGTTGTCGCTGCTGCTGCTGCTGCTACTGCGACTGTAGATGAGGGTGTCTGCCGGCAACATGTTGCCTGGAAAACGTCGATGGCAATGTCTTGCAGTTGTTCTTCCGCGAAAATGTTTGTCCTCTGACGTTTATGGGCGATTTTAGTGCGACTCCTAATTACTTCATATGCTGTTCCAAAACTACGCCCTGCAATATAGTGGAAAAAGAAGGGCAGAAAATGCCTCAATTAGTTGTTGACACAGGCTGAAATATTAATTTTATTGCTGTCTCGTAAAGTGTACAAAGTTCCAAATAAAAATTCCGGCGATCGTCACGTGCCGCGACCGTTTTCGGGATTGATTTATGCGTTCAGGGACCCGAGATAGGAAGTATCCATGCCCCATGCCCAATGACCTTTCTCAAATCGCTCGGGGGCACAAAAATGCGACCCAGGGACTAATTAGCAGGCCGTCCACTCGAAGGCATCCAATTTGGATTTGGTTATTTCATCGGCCACCAGCAATCGGGTTTTGCATTATTTACGACTTTCCCCCAATGCTCAATTATGCGCTTCATTGCAGGAAACCGCACATTTGCCGCCAGTCCTTCAAACGACGAGTATGGCCCTAAAAAAAAAGAGTTCTGCTCTTCCTGTTTTGGCATTGTTCAGCAATTGTTTTCTAAACAAAGAAGGGCGATTGGTGCTGTTCGCACATGGAGAAATATGTCACCCAAAATTGTTCTATAACTCTCAACTACTGCATGGAAAGGGAACTATGAGAATGAAATGTAGAACTAAGATTTTATTGGTTATTTGGCACATTTTTTTGCATAAATGTACTTGATGCAAACGTTTTTTTTGTATTTATAAAGGTACAAAGAAATTCTCTATAATTTTAATTGGCAATTTTTGAAAAGGCGATTCCGCTTTTTAATATTTTGTTATTTCATACATTTTATATTGGATTTAAACATAAGAAATAAAATGCTTTATTAAGTTATCATTTATTATTATTGTTTTTTCATTAACACTTACGTAAAATGTATTTTTTTGTAATTATTCAGTATTTGAAATTTTAAGTCCCTAACTTTTTATTTGAAATTCCTTGTATACCAAGTTTTTCCCTCAGTGCATGCAAAGTTTGGCTAATTGCTGGGGCAGCATCAGCATTGTTCCATGCATTTCCAGCTGACAGAAAATCGTGCGCTGAAACCAAAAATCACTTCCGCTTGGTCATCGATTGCTGGATGGGGAGCGGGAACGGGAAGTAGTGGGTTAAGCGGAGTGGTGGGTTAAGGGGGATAAAGGCCTGCACTTCACACATCATTTCCTCTGCTCAACATTTATTATGCCATTTTGTGTGAGACCGAATTGTCACAATTAGTCGACGGACGAGTGGAAAGGGGATGGAGGCTGCGGCTCTATATATAGACCTGTCCCCCCGAATTTTCCCCGGTATTTTCCCACTTTTCCCCCCCTCCTCACCGATCACAAAGGGCCCTCCGATTCATTTATAATATTTTGTCATTGTCTGGGGCCGGCGTTTGCTGCATTTTATTAATTTGTTTGTCATATTTTCACGTTTGTTTATTGATTAAAATGTGTGCACAGGCGTCTGACATTTTTTTTGGGGAGGGGGAAAGGGAGAGGATGATTTTAAGTCTGCTGCCAGCCGTTGTTGTTGTATCTGCGGTTCTGACTGCTGCTGTAAACATGTGTTGCCGGCAACATTATCACTGCTGTTGCATTGTTATTTTTACTCCCTGTCTGCTGCCTCGGCCCCCTCCGAAACCCCCTGCTCTCCCCACCGCACACTTCTGTTTGCTGTTTTCTGTCTGGTATTTTAAATAAAACATCATTTTTTGTAATTGTTGCCTCGGCGTGAAGCATTCTATTGCCCCATCGCACTCCCCCAGTTCTTTTGTTTACCTAGGCTACTGTTGCAAACATATCCCTTCTCCCTCAGCTTTTCCCTGTTTGTTTGTACAAATTATTATGAATGATAATTTTGTCTGTCGCATTTTTCATGGATTTTTTCCCTCTCTGACGCTTTTATGGCCTCCACTGTTGTTTTTATGCCTGTGGCTTTGTTTTATGAATTTTATAATTAATTGTGTTTGACATATTTTATGTGCTTGTGCTGTTTTTGGCCTTTTTGTGCTATCCGATTTTAAGGTTTGATTGATTTTACCTAATATTTTGCCATTTATCATTATTTGTAAATCGGATGTAGTTGGCAAACAAAGGACAGGGAAATTAAATGATGCCATTTATTTTTACCAATCCATTAAATGGTTGGAAAGCCTATTAAATAATTGCGGTCAACTTTTATAATGTTCTCTAACTTTCAGTGTATTTAATTATAATTATTATTTAATCGAATTTAGATCGGAAATAAATTCTATTTCGGAAACAAAAATAAATTCAATATAATAGCAAAATCGAATCGTTCCTCGCTTTCCTTCATCTAATTGTCTGCTTCCCTTTGTCATCGTATTTAATTCCATTCATTTTAATTAGCTCTGATACACTTATTGAGTTTAACCTCTGTGGCCCAGAACAAAACAGTCACTGTCAGGCCAAAAAACATTTGTATTGTAATTGTCATTTGGGCCGAGTGAATTTCCACATATGTAACTGTAACTGTCGCTTGTCGCTGGCATATTTTTTGGCCAAAAAGACAAATGACAAAAGACAATTAGCTAACTGAAGGCAGGAAGCCTCTTAGACATTTTGCCATTGCGAGTTGGTTTTAATTAAAAGCAGATTAGCATTGCGCGTGCAGCGAATTTGCGTGGGAAACGCCAGCCCAACCACCCACTTTTCGTGGAAATTATTGTCCCCTCCCCCCGCCTTCTTTGGGGAGGGAATGGGAGGGGATGGGCACTCAAACTCATTCGCTTGTTACGCCATTTCAGGCTTCTCAGGCGCATTTGTCTGGAGACATTGACAATGACAGCGGCTCAAGAGCCGGCTATATACTCGCCAAGAATTCACATAGATACATACTACATACAGCCAAGTGGGTCTGTGTGGGGTTAACTGTCGCAGATAATTGCCGGAATAAAGCCAACGCTATTTCGAGTGCCAGCTCCTGGGCTTCCTTACATTTTACGTTTTTACTCCTGCCACCGCGGCTCTCGTTACTTTTAATTCCAGTGCTTGAATGGAACATTTTTATGCACGCTTCTTGCATGCAACACAACTCGAAAGGGGATTGTGAAAAGGGTGTTGCTTGTACCGCTGCACTGATAGAATTCCAACTTAATTGCAAATTACTTGCGGATTTACCAAAGACCTTTTAAAGATTTTAAGGATTTTTCTAAACTAAATAACTACCATTAAAATCCTTGATGATATTAAATCCTAAGTTATTTCCTGGTATAATAATATATTTTCACCTTTTGCAGCTGACTAATTTACTATCTTTCTGTAATTCAATTTAACATAATTGGTTTTAAAGGAATTAACACAGTGGATTTAGTCTGTTGAAATTATTCCCTTTGTTTCACGCTTAGGCTGTTTTAATTGATTTTGTGGCTAACGTAAAGCTTATGCCTTTGGGGTATTCCAAAACCAAAACACATCGCTATGTTATTATTAAACTATTAAAAGCAGCATTTCTTTTTGAGAATCCATATATTCCAACTTTTTTCCAGAAGGTATACTAATGGAATTTCAGAAACATAACCGTTAAAAACGAACAACATTTAATCACTATTTACATAACATTTCTAAAGTTCTGTAGTATCATTTTCCCTCAGTGTGCGACTACTCCTTGTTACTCGCCACATCAGTCACCGCTCACTTGACACATTTCGCCTGCCATGACGCAATTGGCACGAAGACATGCCCAGCACATGGGCAATAAAAATTGCCGGCAACTCCAGTTGCTGCTGCTGCTGTTTCTGTTTTTGTTGCTGCTGATGACTTAAAAATAGCTACAAGTTTTTCACACCAAATTGCCAGAGCGGCAGCCGCCAACAAATTGAAATGTTGATTTCAAAGTTTCGGGGCTCCAACGGGCCATCAGCTGTCAGGTGAGCATGAGACCCAGATGGGCGAAAGTCCCTCGGATTGTCATAAATCTGTCGTTGCAGTCGATGACATTGATCCAGGGGGTGGTGCTATATGGAGCTATATGGTCTAGTGGTGCTATGTTTCCGAGGCGGTGCGATGAAGTGATGTCATCAGCGGTACAACGGAATTAAGTCGCCAGCTCTTCCTTTTACCGGCGGGTGGAACATTTGAACATTTAATTGCCCGCTCGCTGTGTTCGCACCAAGTCAAAGATTTTCACATCAGCTTAATTACTGCGACAGCCAGGTTAACCCATTGATTACCAGTCGTAAAAAAAGGAAGTGGGCCATGCCTGTGCCTAAAACTACTGATAACTTTTAATTTACATTGATCTGAGGTTTGAAATGTAAGGTAATAAATAAAACAAGAAAGGAAGCTACCTTCGGCCAGCCGAAGCTTATATACCCTTGTAGATAAAAGAATACTCACTCGGTGCAGTTCCAGGGATTCCAGATTCAGCGTTTCGATTTATTTCAATTTTGTTTTTAAGTAGTCAAGAATCAAAACGCCTACTTCCTACAAAGTTACAATGAATTTTCTTATATTTGTTTGGGAGCCTTAAGATATAGTGGTCCGATCCGGCTGGCTCCGACATATGTACTACCCGCAATAGAAAGAAGACCTTCGGGAAAGTTTCATCGCGATAGCTTTAAACCTGAGAGACTAGTTCGCATAGAAACGGACAGACGGACAGACGGACAGACGGACATGGCTAGATAGACTCGGCTATTGGTGCTGATCAAGAATATATATACTTTATGTGGTCGGAAACGTCTCCTTCACTGCGTTGCAAACATCTGACTGAAATTATAATACCCTCTACAAGGGTATAAAAAGAGTAGCATCCATAAAGGCATACAAATATTTATTTTACTTTTTAAAATAAATACTTAAATTAAACTATAATTTTACTGATAAAGTAAAGCAATTAAAATGGTTACACAAATGAGACTCACATTAAAGTCCTTATCAGATTCCAATCTTTGAGTAAACCAATTAACATTATTTTTGTCGGATTTCTCCGCTCCTTTAACTGCTCTCAATGGGTTAAACGGAGGGGCAAAATCAGCAATTTTGGAGCGCCTGCGGAGGGCGAGCAGTATCAGCCCGCTGGATGCAATCTGCA